ATTTTTTCTAATGCCTCCTCCGAAGAGATCATGAACAAAGCTCGTGAGGGTGAAACAACTGGAATAAAGGTAAATGGAGTCTAACAATGAACGTCAAGAAGACAAAATTTATGAGAATATCGAAAACTCGAAGAAATAACGAGATTCTTCTAATAAACGAAACCAACGTCGAACAAATGGACAAATATGCATATCTGAGAACAATGATTAACTCCACAAATGATTACATTCAGGAGTTCAAAATCAGAATAGAAAAGGCTAGAGAAAATTCCCACAAAAAGAGAAGAGTGCTATGTACCAGGGATTTAAAATTAGAGAACTAAGAGACTTTTTTTTATGGAATGGGATCTTGGATCTTGAATGTGACATCAATGAAAAAACTGGAATCATTCGAGCTATGGGTGTATAGAAGAATTCTGAAAATATCCTGGACAGAACATGTCACAAACAAAGAGGTTCTGAGAAGGATGAATAAAGAAATAGAAATTTTAAATACAATTAAAACAAGAAAATTGGAATATCACGGACATTTTACAAGTGAAGAGAAATACACCCTGCTCCATCTGATTATGCAGGAAAAGATTCAAGGAAAGAGAATCATAGGGAGGCGTAGAATGTCATGGCTGCGCAACCTGAGAGAGTGGTATACATCAAATGAACTTTTCAGAGCAGCCGTCTCTAAAGTCCGAATAGATACGATGATTGGCGACCTCCGCCGCGGAGATGACACTTGAAGAAGAAGAAGCAACATTTTAGGAAATCTGATTGTGTGAGTGATGTTTTAAAAGAAATTTAATTGGCATAATTAGAAAAATAAAAATATTATTCCGCAAAAAAGTGGATCTATTGTATATAAAGATTTTACCAAAAAATAAAGTACCCCATTTCATCCTAGTTTTTTACCAAAATCCAAAGTTTAAAAATTTGAAGTGGCCAGGACCATGTGATTCTATATTTCACGCAGTAAAGTTGCCATTTTCGATTAGTATTTAAGATGTACTTAGCCGATGCTTATACTAAAGATGATGAGTTGAACAATTTTGAATATAATGTAAGTCACTATTTTATGACTGACTTAAGTAGAAATTATCGTCGTCAAGCGTCGCAACAAGTGCCGACTGTGCAAACCGTTAAGGAAGAGGGTTTATACTTGCAAAATTATTTAAAAGTCAAACCTAAAAACCCTATGTATTGACCTGTACTATAATAGTTATATTAATTTTTGTAATTAATTTTCTTGAAATAAAAATAATCTAGAAAAATGATAATTTTCTATTGTTTGTCCTTTCAAGAATTTTTACTTTTTTTGGTAAATATATTACTTTTACTTTATAATGGATATCTCTGTAGTTAAATGTAAGTAGTTTTTGCGTATTAGTTATAACTAGGGTGACCATATGTACTTTTTTTAGTAGGACAGTACTTTCTTTTCAAACGCTTGCCTATTGTACTTTAAAATTTATGAAGTACATCTAAATGTACTCTTTTTCTTAATTACACAAAATTAAGTCCTACTTTTTGTCCAAACAAAATACAATTATGATTCGAATTGATGTGCTCACTGTTGAATAGTCTATTAACCTTTTGTCTTAAATTCCGACACGTTTTCTCTTTTTTTATATTATTTTGTGCTGTGTGGAAAAATAAACAATTTCGTCATGTCACCGCCTAGAAGAAAATGCCATTTTAAAGCCGAGTTGCAAGCAGAGTATCCTTTTATGAAACAAAAATCAAATGTTTCACCTCATATTGTGTTTTGCCAAGTTTGTAAAAGTGATGTTGATATTTCTAACAGTGGTCGCAGTAAACAACATTTGTCAAAGAAAAAACACATGTTGGCTACTAATGCGAAATCAAAGAGCAGCAAATTGACAACCTTTGTTAAAAAAGAATATTTAAGTTCTGAAAATATGTGGATTGCTGCCAAGGAAGGTACTTTTGCTTACCATAAAATTAAGCATTTGCAAAGTTTCAGATTTATGTTTCAGAATTATACAAATGTTCGAATCCTTGAAAGCATATTTTTTGTCGATTGATAATTGTGCACCAGTTCTCTAAAACAGTTTTTTCAAAACCCAATCATTGAAACATGGATGTGGTTTGTGCATAACATTGCGTCTCTCTTTCACAAAGTGATTTTAGATGTAGAAGGTGACAAAATATGCGCACGGAAGCCGCTTTGGCGTGTTTCAAACTCATAAATAAGCTTCAAAATCGCTTAAATAAGTTATTTTTACTGCTTAAAGTAAGAGAGTCTCTTACAAAACTTGAAACTATGGAATACCTTGACCGTAGTGTGAACTATCGGGATATCTTCATCACGCATGTCAAGCAGTTCTATTCAAATTATGTAACATATTTGAAAAACTGGAGTAAAAATTTAAGTGAACTAAAGCTCTTTGGATGAGTTAACAAGTTTCTTGGGTAGAAATTTTATCGTCGTGTAAAGCTTTCCTACGTTCCTGAACCTACGTTACAGAAAATAAAATCACAGACTGGAATTCGAACAATATTTCTACCGAAGATCGATGGCACGAAATCTTCCAAAAAGAAAGGGCTTTGAAAAATCTCAAAATTATATGTGAGTTTGTTTTTGTCTGCCGGGACCAGGGCGTCGATTGAGCGGTTGTTCTCAAATATCAATAACTATTGGACTCCCATTGGAGTCAATATAAATATAGTCTTCTGCAGGTCATCATGCAGGGTAGAGTCGATGGCAAAAAGGGAATAGGTAGAAAGAGGAAGTCATGGCTGCGAAATATTCGAGACTGGACAAACATGACTGTAGACGAATTATTCCACGTTGTGCAAAAGACAGAGAAGCTTTTAAAAATGTGGTCGCCAACCTCCGTTAATGGGGACGGCATAGGAAGAAGAGAATTGGAGTCCCAACAAATCGCAGTTGAAAATATCTACTCTGGAAGCAATCATGCACAACTTCTGAAGGAAATTCATAGTTCCAAAAAGTACGACTGGTACCAAAATGATGATCAAGATGTTCAGAAAGGAACGTCGAAAGAAAATTAACTAATAAAATTTATCATACATTTTTATGTACTTATGTTTGATTAAAAAATCATTCTTATCATTGTTTCATTAAAGATTCATAAAATTTTGACCAGAAAAATTTCCTAGGGCATTAGCAGTGTACATATTTTCTTAAAAATTATAAATGTACTTTTTTTTGTTGAAAAATTATGGTCACCCTAGTTATACCAAAACTTGTTTTTTTTATTTAATATAAATGACTAACAAGTTACTTGAGTCATTTAAACTAGGTTTCCTAAGACAATTCATAAGTAATACAATGTTTCCTATTTTAATTTAATATTATAAGTGGCACAAACTTGATAACCCTCATGTAAGTGAATAATAAATTTTAGTAGCTCCATTTTAAATATGTCAATTATAAACTTTTACCTTCCAAACGTCGAAATATATCGATATAGCGGGTGGTGAATCACCAAACGGGCCATAGAAAATTCAATTCAATGGGAAATTCTAAATTGTTGAATTCCTGCTTCCCTAATTATTTTACATCAAAAGTCATAAGAAACTATTTGTAGAGGACTGAAATATGTATTTAACTTGTTATACGAATTAAATTTATTCCAAAATTTTGTAGAAATATAGTACATTTTTCAGGACACCCCTGAAAGTCAGGCCACACGAGGAACAAGAACATGTATGACATGTTGCGTTTGGTCATTTTGATGATTCTGATATTTGACAATATTTGAATTATTAATATTTTTATTTTGTGATTAAATTATACACAAATACTAAAATACGCAAATTTTCACAAATACTACTACTACTAGTGAACAACAAATAGTACTTTGTAAACAATAAATTATATTCACGAGTTCACGAAAAATCGCAATAATGTATTCAGGCAATAGTGCGAGCACTGCCAGATCTTTATTTAACACAATATATCATAATACCATTGTTTAAGCAAGAAACTTCTTTCTTTTTTAAACAATGATAATACACTCCGATTCAATTCCAGGTTATACAACAATTCAAAGAACTTTTGCTTTTTTGTCGACCAAATCTTATAATTTTGAATATTTAGTTCATTATTTAATGTAAATGTACATTCATCACTGAATAAAATGTTTTTTTTTTTAATTGTCTGTCTGCATAAGCCCTCTCTAAAATTTCATAACAAAATTCCGCTCGTCGCTCAGCATCTCCTCTTAGTTATTGATGACATTGAAATTTATATGAAAGGAATTTATTCCTTTCCAAAGTTTTTAAGGCCGTAGAATTATGAATATTAAACTGGTCTGAAACGGTCCGAGAACTTATTCTAGGATTTTCTACAACTGCTGTTAATACATTTATTTCATTTTGATTTTCTAAATTTTTTGATACTTCAGCAATATTGTTGAATTGTTGAATGACTTGGAATTGGTCTATTGGGATATCTTACTCTAAATAAAGAACTGACAATTCGCGCACTATTGCCTGAATAAAACATTTTTATTATTGCTACTTTCCCCTCAACTGAATACATTTTTTAATCAATTATATTGTTTTTAAACAACAAATCACACAATTTTGACAATTCAAATATTGTCAAAAATCAGAAACATAAATATGACCAAACGCAATATGTCGTACACATTCTTGTAACTCTCGTGGCCTGACTTTAAGGGGTGGTCTGAAAAATGTATTATATTATTTTTACAAAATTTTGGAATACATTTAATTTGTAGAACAATTTTAACATTTGTTTTTAATACATATTTCAGTCCTCTACAAATAGTTTCTTATGACTTTTGATGTAAAATAATTAAGGAAGCAGGAATTCAACAATTTATAATTTCCCATTGAATTTCCTATGGCCCGTTTGACGATTCACCACCCTGTATATTGCACTTAAAACCTTAAAATTAGATAATCGATCATACAATATTTTTTGTAAAATTTGTTTCAACAGCGGCCATGATTCCAAATTCTCTTGTCAGAATAGTAAAAAGAATAAGACTTACGATTATCAGGAACAGCAGCTGCAGCGATAGGAGCATTTTGTGCACTACCCACAGATGATCCACTATCTTGTCGTTCTAACCCAATTTTGGGTTGGGGCTCTTTGATATCTTTTCTATGTTGCTGGTGTTGCTGCAAAAATAAATTGGCATTTATTGCGCATTCAATAACTTAATAATAATAAGGTATTATATATATTGCCAAATAATTCAAATTGCAAAAAACTCATTCAAATATGGATGTATGGCGACCTATACGAATGAGTGAATATAGAACTACATACATCCAGAGAGTCTAAGGATTGTTTGTAATATAAAACTAATTAAAAAAATTTAGATTCTATATATATTCTACTTTTTAGCATAACTATGGTCCATGTCACAGATCCATATGTCAACACTGGTTGTATAAGGGTTTTGTATATGGTTATTTTTGTTTTTTGGCTTAAGTTTCTGCTTCTCATATGTCTACTCAATTCAAAATAGCATAGTTTGCTAGGATTATTCTTTGCTTGATTTCTTCCGTCATGACATTCTCCTTGGTATGTGAATCCATCAGGGAGCCTAAATATGTGAATTTGTCCACCACTTCAAAGGTAGAGTTATCAACAGTGAATTGGTGGCCGATGTTTCTAGCTCTATTGTTGGGTGTTGATGCCATTATCTTAGTTTTCTCCTCATATACTTGCAGGCCCATACTTTTTGAGGCATTTACAAGGTGGTATACATTTCTTCTAGTTTGCGTGTTGTGCGGGCCACTAGGTCAACATCATCTGCATATGCCAAAATTTGGGATGATTTATTTGGGAATTAGAGACATGGGAAATCTAAATTTGCATTCCACAACATATCTCCTCAACTAAGAAAATCCTTAGCAAATTGGTTACGTCACGTATAGTGCGTCTGTATATCCGCATGTACGTACTTCACCCTAAAAGGGATCTTCGGAGCGGCTATTCACAGACGCTCTGAACGTGAAAACAAATCTTTCTTGTCGTAGTAGAAGCAACACTAACATGTCTGTTTTGGCTTGAAATTCTTAGAAGGCACAATTCTTAAAGCTGAAATTGGTTTCGAAATCTGAAGAAATCTGAAGTTTGTTTCGAAAAATTAGTTTAGGGATTTAATCTTGTATTTGTTTCAATCAGGCTATAAAGTTATGTTTAGGAGGTATATTAAAAATGCTGGTGTTTGTCATTAAACTGTATACTTTAATTTTAGATGAGATGAATAGGTCATGTTCAAGATGGCATATGAAGTAAATTTGAAAGTATCTCAAAGTGTCAGTTGATTATGGAGGTATTTTCGTAAAATTGTAATGATATGCAGTGCAAGACCGCGCAGCCGTGAATTTTAATGGATCGCAGCACACAATTATTTCAATAACTACAGGAATTGGATATTTTTTACAATCCCTGCAAGATATAATCAAATTTTGAAGTTCCATGGTTTATGTTTCTATATTTTATTTATTTTCTTCAACTTTTATATAACAATTTATACTTTTTTAGTTATACAGAAAATCGATTATTAAATATTTGCGTCTAACTAAATTCATGTTACTATAATACTCTTATAATATAATATATTTATAATCAACTGTTATTTTCACTTTTATAAAAACTGTCACAGTACTATACCAATCAAAACGTGAGTTTGGTATACCAGAAAAACTTATCCGATTAACGAGAATGACAATTTTTAACTTAAAAGCCAGTGTTATAATACAGGGAGAGAATTCTAGAACCTTTGAGATAAAGGATTGACTCAAGGGGATGCCTTACATGCCTTGTATTTAATATTGCCTTGGAAAAGGTAGTCTGAGACACACGAATTACAGACGGCGGTACTATTTACAACACATCGATACAAATCTTAGCATACGCTGATGACATTGACATAATAGGGCGTAGCAAGCGAGATGTTGAGCAATATTTCCTTGATGGAAACAGCAGCAAAGCAAGTTGGCCTAATCATCAACGAAGACAAAACCAAGTATATGTTCGTTACTAATAGCAAATGAGAAACGATAAATAGTGTATAGAAGTTATATATTTGAACATGTTGACACATTCACAAACCTTGGCTAACTAGTGACTACTACCAAAAATCAGCCAAGAAATTAAGAGACAAATAAACCTTACAAATAGGGCATTAGAACTAAAATTATTAAATACAAAACACTACTGAGGCTGGTGAACACTCACATATTATGGGGCAGAAACATGGACTCAATACAGAAGGTTGAAAGACTTTTGGAAATATTCGAGCATAAAATACTGTTGAAATAATTCTTCAACCTATCATTCATCCATTTGTATGAGCTTTTGTCTAAAACTTTTACCTCATGCATGGGAATGCTCCTCTACTAACCACATTGCGACAAAGTCGTTGATAAATGGGGAAATAGATGTATTTAATTTTCAAAAGATGAATTTCTTGAATGCCATAGTATTTTAGTTACCCAAATATGTTCAATATTAAAATTTCGAGAGGAAAAAGTTAATAAGCGATCATAAAAAAAATCAAAGACTAATCTGACAATTGCAAAGGAGATGAAGGTAAAATCTAAAATGTGACACTATACAATAAATGTAGATTAGCATTTTAGGTAGAATCATCTAATTTAAACTTCTACAGCTTCTTTCAAACTTCAATGTATGAAGAAAAACTGGAAAGTCTGGAGAGTGACCTTCAAACAATCTACAATGGAGAGAGCTAGATTTATATGGAACTGAACGGGGATGGCCGATAACGCATACAAATCTCAGTTGTATTGAGATCACAATATTGTGGCTGAAATCAACGGGCAAACGTTTCAAAGGGAAGAGATACTAGGCCACATAAAGAATCATCAGTAGCTTAATATCAAAGGATGGAGGCGTCAAATCCATAACCGCAATTTTAAGACGACTGCGCAGGAGGCTAGGACTATAAGGCACATGTGGATAGGTAAATTCATGGTTTCTTTTTCAGTTGGTAGTATAATGGCTACAGCAAGTTTAGTCTCATACTCAAATAAATAGCTATATATTTGAAAGTCTATTTTAGCAATTGGAGCATGCTAATATACACATTCAATTTCTTCGGTTTCTCAGATTTCTCTGGGTTTTCAGAGTTCAAACTCACACTAAAAATCCACTGTCGACTACATTTAGCTATCAGTGTTTAACAAAAAAAAAACCAGAATGTAAAAACTTTTTCTAGTATTATTAGCATTTTGATGAAAATTAATTACCTGTTGAATAGGGGGAGGCCTATGTTGTTGATGTTGTTTTTCAATATTAGCACTAACGTCCTTAGTTATAACAGCACTCTCTTTCGAGACGGGCAATACCTGAGTAGGATTCGTTGATTGGATAATAGAAGACGAAGAAATATCCTGTACCTAAAATAAACACAAATTTTAAAAATATTGTATTTAATTAGTTATTGTGCTTGTTCATTAAAAATGCATTATCGAATTATTAAAATAAAGTTCAAGGAACTCAAATGTAATTGATACAATTAGAGAAACTAGATGATGGAATTTATTTGCTGACAACTTTTGCATAGATCTGATCAATAATACTAAAGCATCCATCTGTCTACTGTTATTTCGTGTGCATTTTGATCCATACATTTGTAAGCTCTGTGAATATTACTCATGTAAAATATATTAAAATAAATAATTAAAATTAAAAAATAAAAAAATAAAAACAGTTTAAATTTTATGTAATAATAAACCACTGAAAACTTTGTTTTCAACACTTGCACAAAATTTATTATAAAATCTTATCACTACAGCTGTTTCGGCAGAGTGCCTTTCTCAAGTGATCTATTTTTGGTATGCGTTTACACTTTGTAGTCTTTAACAAAATAGGTCGAGTTGGGGAGAACTGTTTGTCTCAAGTTGGTAACTCAAAATTATGAATCATGAATATATTACTTGAGACAAACAGTTCTCCGCTCCTCAACGTATTTCGTTAAAGAATGTAAAGTGTAAACGCATACCAAAAATAGATCACCTGAGAAAGACATTTTGCTGAAACAGCTGTAGTGATAAGATTTTATAATAAATTTTGTGGAAGTTTTGAAAACTAGGTTTTCAGTGTTTTATTGTTACATAAAATGAATTTCCATCAGGTAACGGTCGAATCCATCAATTAGTTTAAATTTTCATATGAAGTCATATTTTACTTAGCACAACTTTCAATTATGGAAAGTGAAGGCTGTACCAAATTCACTTTCAACAATAAACTTAGTAGTTATTAACTATTGATGTAAAAGCAAATACAAAAATTATTTACTATTTTTATAATAAAAAGATATATAATATTAAGTCAAAAGAAAATAACTTCGGAACAACACAAATACAGGAAATTGTTCCTATAATCGAAGTACTTGAAACCATTAATGAAATACATGGTAATCTCAGTATAAACATAATGAATGGCATAGTTATGATCAAATAAAAACATTTTACAAACATCCTTATTGGTGCCTTTGAGATCATCTAAATAGTTATCATGTATCTCCCATAATAAATAAAGATTCTGAAGGGATCGAATATAAACATGTAATCAATCATATACTTAATAATAAAATATATCCAACAGATCAAAATTACAAAACAACTATTGGCAAAACAGCAAATTCCCCATTTAAATAACTACAAACGGTACTTCAAGTTAAAAATTTTGATAGAAACCACCTGCTTACCTCGTCTTTCGTATTGGAAGATTCTTTATCACTGACGACCTCTTTGATTGCACCAATCATAACTGGAGGAGGCTTTTCCATAACCACTGGAGCTTCCTTAATTGTCTCGTTTCCTCTAGATGACTGCTCCCTCTGCTTTCGGCCTTTAACGGGACTTTCCCTGTCTTTAGGTAACTTATTCGGTAATAACGTCACTTCGACAGCATCAATATTCGCAGATACTATCGGTGTTTCTTTGGTGACTGCTGAAGGCAATACGAATTCCTTCGCTCCAGCCTATAACATAGATGTGTCAATTTTACGTTACATTAAGGGTGAAAATTTGCCACAACTATAAGGTGTGTTATTAACTTTAAGAAAATTATACATATTTATGACTTTTATTAAAATTAGTTTTTTGTAACAATGGTTTGACAGTGTTGACGAATAATTGCCATCTCTGTTTCTATACAGTATCAATAATACTTTACTCTTGTACCTATTGAGAATACGGAAAGAATATACTCCATTCGCTTAGCTCGGGCATATTTTGACAGATTCATTGTCGGAAACCTACAACACAACAATTCCTACTTCTCAGTATTAATAGCTCAAGTATACTACTATTGCAGATTACTTTCTTTGAAAAAAGAAGAATTATTCTAAATAGTTGAAGTGCATACTAAATCCAACAAATTTTGGGTAGTATATATTTAAAAAATATATTTTAATTGTTATAATTTAACATAACTGTTTATTATATGGTGCAGATAAATAAAAATATTCATTGTCAGTAATTCGCAAAGTTCTCATTTAGTAACTATTTAGTTTGTTTACTATTAATATTGGCTATGAGTACGTGTGCTAGGTTGTATAGTAATTTCCAGCTACTTTAAGTCTGTCAAAAAGTAACTAACTTCACAAAAAAATAATTACTAGATTCACTACACAGTTCGGACTGGAAATAGCGAACTGAGTATAATAGAGCTACAATGGGATGAAACCATTAAGGGAAAAAACATTAAGGAAAAAGAACATTAACTGAAACTTAAAAGGGTCAAATTAAAAATTCTCCAGGACTATTGCGACTTTTATACAAACTTTGCATGTAATTAGTAAGTTTTGGTAGCTAAACCAAAAAACAAACAATATATAAGACATTCATCGTGCCAGTGCTAACATATGGTCCATAAACAAGGACAAACACTCCATCAACTTCAAACCAAAGACCTTAGAAGAATACTTTATGAAATATGTGAAAAGGAGGCATCAAGAGAAGACAATATTTTAGCTTTTTAAAACATAAACAAATAACACATAGCAGGAATGTAATATCCTTCATAAAAATAGCTAGGAACAGATGGCCTAGCCACGTGTCAAGAGCAAATGAAATCCCAGGCAAATTTGATTATCAATATCTGTGGGAAATAAAAGTAGGGGCAGGTCTAGACTGAGATATAAAGATGGTGTATACGAAGAAGATTGAAGCAGCAAATAGGCAACAGTTGGCAATGGACAGAAACAATTGGTTAAATATATTAAGGAAGGTAGCTCAACTGAAATTGTAGTACCACTGATGGTAATGATATAATTGCAACAATACATTTGCAGCGTTTTTCCTACAATTGGAGTATTTAATTTTCATTTAGTGTCAAAATTGTGTATTAATTATTCTTGACTGTATATGTATTTGTTTTAATAAGGATGTTTCTTTGTCTACAATATATTGTCACATCTTATATGAAAGCTGGAACTCTTATACTGAAACCTGTTTAGGAGAATATCAAGAGCTTTTCATGTCCAATTGTTCGACCATTAACCAGATGTTCACTTATGTCAAATTATTGATAAAGCGCTAAAGTTTAACATTAAAGTAAATCCCAATTGTTTTTACACTTGTTTCATTCACAAATAGGAGGAAATTAATTATTCAACCTCCAACCATGAATGGAACACCAATATTCTCAGAAAAGGTTAAGTTTCTTGTAGTTATCCTAGATAGGACATTTAGATGGAATACTCACTTCAAATTATACCGATAAAGCAACAAGGGCTCTTTGGACGTGCCATAGACTTTTTGTCAAAACATGTGATCTGAAACCTAAAATGATCTATTGGTCATATGCAACCTTTGTCAGACCAATAGTTACTTAGTTTGTGCTGGTTTGGCGAAACAAAACAACATATCAAAAGGTGATAATAGAGTTGCAAAAAGTGCAAATACTCGCATGGTAAGAAATCACGGGTGAGTAAATGTATCTAATAACTGCGTTTGAGGTAAGACTAGACTCCTCCTACATGTAAGGAGGATCGCTCCAAAAAGTGCCTTTAGGCTAACACGAGATTAGTACCTAAAACCTGACTGGGCATCTAGAGATTTTAAAAATTGAAACAATACAACCCATGAAGATGCCCACAGACATTATTTCTGCACAACAATTTCGAACTCAAACTAAATATAAGAGGTCCTAACCCTAAACTGTCAATAACCCTCGGAAATACTCATATTCCTACAATATTCCGGGCAGAACTGCTCGCAATCGATTTTTATACAAAAGAGTGCCCAAAAAACTCCTCATTCAGTCAAAATATTAATTTCCTCAGAAAGCTGCACAGAGATACAAAGTTACCGAGTCTGTAACAGGTAACTGCAAGCAGTACTCTAAGACAATTGGCAGAGTGGAATAAAGTAACTTTGGCTTTGGGTGTCAGGTCATAAAGGAATTATTGGTATTACTAAAGAATGAGCTATTTCTTTTTAGCAATTAATTAATTAATATTCGCATAATAGAGAATGTTCGTGTATGGGAAAATTAATTTAGTGTATCTACTTAACTAATATTCCAGACCAAAGGCAAGCAAAAAGGTTATTACAACTTTCTACTCGCAAAACCAAATTTATGCCGACCAGAACATTTACAAATTCCGGTTCTCACATTTGGATCAGAAGCATTGACTCTTAACCAAATCTGATTAATCCTTTCTATCTTCGAAAAAATCATCTATATAAATGGGCCTACTATGGACAGAACATGTAGCTTGGACACTAAAATGAAATATGATAAAAAGAACCAGAACTCATCCATTACAGCACAGCAAATACAATTATAGAATTACGCAAAGACACGGCACGGCCGACACCCAGGCCTTGATATTTTGTTCAAGAATAACATGTCGCGAAGTGGCACATGTCTCAAATTGTGTTTGATTCATGGACGTATAAATAAAGAAGGACCGGGCTATTTACATCTGTATTTGAAGCCATGAGATCGTCACAGTCATAGACACAATTGACGTTGTCATATTATTTTTTTTCCAAGCGAATCTTCGAAATAATTTTCAATTTTTAGTATAATTTAATTTTAATTTATAGATAAAAATGTATTATTTAGTTAGTATAAACTATTTTTAGATATACTCATTTCGAAACTAAGGAATTAAAAGAAAAACATTAATATTTTAATTTATTAAAAGAAAATATATTCTGATAATGTTAACTTTATGTAAAACTTGGCATTATTAGTAATATTAACCAATCGTAGTGATTTGAGAAAAAGGAATATGGCGTTGTACTGTTTACCTTTGAGTTGATATTTTCCTTTTTGTGACATTTTAGTGAATTTGTTAATATTTTCATCCAGAACAGTCATTTCGTTCGTAAGTAAACATTGGAATTACGTCCATGAGCGTAGTACAGGGATGTGATATTACTTAATTCTTGACATGAAGTGAAATTAAATTTTGTGAAATAAAGTAAATTTTGTCGTATTGTCGTATGCACACGCATAGCATATTAATTCAATGTTTCAGTTCTACAAACGATATGGAAAATAATGAAACAACTTCCAGTAGTATTGATATGGATGATTTTTATGGACCGTCAAAAGGTGAGTTGGATCGAATTTGTTAATTAAATTTACAAATAAATCTAAATGTGGATTTTAATTACTATTTCATTTAATATTAAAATTACTCACAGTATTTTAGGAGTTTCTTTGATACTGAAAAATGTAATATGGAGACAGACTTGGGCCTTAATGTAAAATCTAATTCTCCTAAAAAGGAGGTGAGTTTTGGATAAATTTTGTATAATATTATTTCAATCTTAAACCAATTTTAATATTTTTCTTTAATGTACATAAATTGATATTCTAGATGTTTAAGTGACAATGAAGAAAACAAGGAAAGTATAGATATAGAAAATGCACCTTCGAGCACCATTACAGCATCAGAAACTGAAACTGTAGAGTTGTTACTTGGTGATAATACTTTTCATATGTTCCACGTAATATTTATTAAAAGTGAGTTCTTAGTTTAATTTATAAAAACAAGTATTATAACTATGAAAACCTAATTATATGTTTTAGAAATAAAACCATTGAAGACATGTCTAACAGCGATTTTTCAACACCTGAAAGGATCAAAAAACATTTTAGAGTGTTAAAAAATACTGTTAAGAGTCAAAAAAGTAAAATAAAGTATTTACAACAATATGTAAGAAATGAAAACAAAAATTACATCCTATCTAAAATGATTAAAGATTTTTAAGAGCCCGACTTATGTCCTTTCTTGTTGAAATGAACATTTTATCACGAAGTCAGTTCAGCTTTTTATCTAATAAATGTACCAGTGATGCTATGTTTTCTGTATTACATGAGGTCTATTAAGCACTAAACAATAGTCTTTACGCTGCCACTGTGTTTTTTGAGACTATGCCAAATCTTTTGATTGTGTAATTCACGACATTTTGATAAAAAAAACTAAATTTCTAAGGAATTCGAGGTATTTTTTTGAATTGGTTCCAATCTTGCTTGAAAAATAGGAAATAAGCAGTTAGAGCAAATAATACTGACTCTAGACACAAAAGCATGTATGTAGAGTACCGAAATATTGAGTACTGGGTCCTCTACTTTTTCTTATATTTACCTTTTCATGCAAATAAAACTTCTGATCAACTTAAAATAAAAACCTGGTCCGACTATAATTTACTTTCTTTTAACATGAATAAGACAGTAGCATTATCCTATAAAGGAGCTCTTCAAACCTTGCTTCTTAATAACAGCCAGATCAGTATCGTTGTTTCTTTAAAATATGATGGTATTTTTACAGACAGCAACCTTAAATCCCTTTATATCGATTTGTTAAGTAAGAAACTAATCTCAGCCAGCTATGCAATACGATCTGTTTCGAAGCTGAATTAGCATCTTCCAAAATAACATTTTTTTCTTTGTTCGAGTCTCATCTTCGATATGGTCTTCCTTTTTGCGGTTCTAGTACAGCTACCCAATATAATGTTCTTTTTAAATTACAAAAAAGAGCAACACGGTATCTTTTTGGCCTCAGTAAAATAATACATCTTAGAAGCTACATAAAAAATCACGGGATTTTAACTTTTCCCTCTTTGTATATTCTAGAAACTATTTCTTAATTAGTAAATACCTACATGTTTTTTCAGCAAGACCCAATCATGAATTTTCCACCAGAAATTCAACCTTTGATATGTATTTATCGATTTCGTCCACTGAGTTAGTAAATAAATCTATATTATATTCGAAAAAAAAATTATACAATTAATTCCCTTTGCAACTGAAATCTACAACTTCTTTCCTTAAGTACTGTAAATTAACAAAAGCCTATCTATCTGAAAGACCATATTATTCAGTGGAAGAGTTTCTTAACGAGAAATTAAGAAATTACAGTACGTTTAGGTACAAGCAACTAAAGTATTATATATTTGGGTATCAAATGCAGCAACTAAAACTTATTCGTAAACTCCTAAGGTTTTATTATGCAATTTGCAATTTAGTTAGATTTTGCAATGAATTGTAAATTTTATTATCTTTTATTATATGACATTGACCATTTTTGTAATTTTAGTAAATTTTAATTGTTATTGTTATTTTTTTTACTTTTTGTAAGTTTTGTTCATAAAATTGTACAATTTTCAGTGACAATAAAGCATATTTCTATTTTAGAAACCTACCCCATCCATAAGGTTTAATGTGTTTATATATTGTTGTATATGTGGTTTGTTGTTCATGTTTTGTTAAACGATAGTTTATGTTTTCTTACGTTTACTAATATTTTCTTAAATACATATTCCTGAACTTTTTATCTTTCTTCTGCCTACTGCTATGTCTAACATGACTTCTAATGTTGCCAAATAACAATTAATCTGGAGTTATAAACCATAATTCACTACATTTTTTCAACGTATCACTCACTGGATAAAAGAAGAACTACTCAATACCCTGAACAGGTTATGTATGGGGAAGAATTTTTAAACTTTTTATTGCTTGTGTATTATTTTAGTTTAAATAAAATATTATATAAAGTACCTTGCGATTTTATTTACCCCATCTTTATTCTTTTGTATAAATCAATTTTTATAAATATATTTATTTCTATATACTGAAAATTAAAATTATTCATCGTTCGTTGTTTCTCACTTATTCGAAATATTTTATATGTTTACGATACTAAAAATAAAAGCAATCAAACCAATAGTCATTATTTATTCAAATCAAAAAACTGTTTCAAATACCTTTCAATTATTGGAAGGTACGCCGATGACTTAAAAGGCAATGTCACAGTCTATCACCTCGCCTCTTTCCCCGCGCCTATAAACTTTTCGACTTCAAATTTAGGCGAACAGAGTGCATGGCATGCCCAGTCCATCTTTATTTATACGTCCATGGTTTGATTCAATCAAACATTGATGTGATCAATGTTTGATTACATTTACCTAGTAACGGTATCCAAATTGTCAGTAAATCAAAATCTCTAAGGTGTTTAAAAATTTGCAAGAGTAATTTTTAAATTATACATTTTTTATATTAGAAATAAATTATATTAATTGGCGGTGTTGTCGTGATAACAGCTCAATATTATAAAATTGTTGCAAATTTGTAAGTTAATAGTATATTAGGCACACTTTTAAGGTAAGTATTTGCAATATTGTTGTCCTTAATGATACTAAAAAACTATAAATCGTTAACTAGCATAGGAAAGGACAAAACAAATATTTGTGTAATATTGGGAATAATATTGAGAATTATGATTAATAATACATCTCAAACATGTATTTATCGATAAGCTAATAGGAATAATTGAAGAAAGTGGTTGAACACAAAAAAATTTTTAGTTAAGAAATACATATTGTTCTTTTGTAACAGAAAAATATAAGAATGTAGTTATCAGAAGCTTCAATAAGTTATTCCGTGCTTTATTCAAACTTGAAATAAGTTTTCAAACCGTCAAAAAGATGACTATGACCTGTAACTCGTTGGTTACGGAGCAAATGCAACCAAAATGGTTATAATAAAAATCTGCAGAACCTTTCTTAATAAAATTTTTTGATTGGGTGAGGGAACATGTAAATAAACAAGAAAAAAGCAAACATTTTGATTTTATAATTATAATCAAATTTTATATTTAACTCACGATATCTCCAGCTCAGTTTAGATATTTCAATTTCTATTTTAGACACATACTATGATCATTTCTGCAAAAAAAAATATTGAAAAGTGCAGATGTTAATTATGAGCTTTTTGGTATAAAATTTGTCAAGTAGCCAGAGAGTTATTGGTGTGTAGAAGTTAAGAAAGAAACAAATTATAACAAACAATAGCCAGGCCAGTATTGACGTACGGACGTGAAAATTAATAAAAATCTGGTTAAAAAAAATACAACAATAGAATTGAAGAAATCAAATTTATAAGAAGGGTTAAAGTTTGCACAAGAATCAACATATTATGCAATGAATAAATAAGTAATGAAATAAATGTTGAAAATACGAAAGAAAATATAAGAAACTATAGACAAAAGAGGAAACAGTATTTAGAGATAATATCACTCAAAAGAGTATCCAGTGCAGCGCTATCCTAAAACCCAAACAAATGAAGTATAGGAAGAGTCAGAAAAAGGTGGAAATGTACCTAAACTTTGAAGACGGAACAGGCTCTAGCTTAAATGGAAAATAAGTGGATACGTCAAAGAAAAAGAAGAAGTATAAGTAGTTACATCACAAAAATACGAGAAGATGAAAATTTTAAGGTTACATTCAATGTTTAAATGATTGGCAAAATGCATTAAATATTGTCATATTGACAGTTTTAACTTATCAAAATGCCAGAAGATAAAACTTCTGAAAATGCTCCTGATACAGAGCCCGAGGCGAATATCACTCCAGAAATACAAACAGCTTTGGATAAGCAACCAGAAGGCGACAAAGAAGCTGTAGAAGCTGCAGAAGATGAAAGAGAAAAACTTGACGCGGAACCCCCGGCTGCCGATGGTATGTAATAACTAAAATTAATATTGATAATAACTAACTTGTAACATAGTTCTAGATAATATTTACAGTCATTGATGAATTTTTCTGTTACAAAAGAATTCTGAATTTTATGTGGTTAAACTTTGTATTTGTAATATTTATTTATTTTTGTTAAATCTTTTTTGTACTTAGTAGTTCTCTGTTTAAGATAATTTATTGATTTTCATTACTCATGGATCTCTATAGAGTATATAGGTTTTAATGTGTACTTATTTGTATTTTAATCGGCTGTTGTCAGCAGTAAAAGTGTAAGAAGTATACTATATAGAGGCGACCACGGCCCTGAACTCGGTCTTGGTCCCATATATTGAGCCAGAAGGTATATCGGGTATTGGCGGAGAGATAAAGCAGAGATAAAGCAGATCTGCCGAAGTCCCTAATACTTATACAATAGTTACCATGTGCCACATTTTTGTGGCACTTATCGATTTTGGGAAAGCTTTTGACAGCACAGAAAACTATACAGATAACAACCCACAACCCGTAGATAAAGACTAGAATACCAATATATTAGGAAGAAAAATAAACATATTGTTCTGAAGCTATTTTCTTGTGGCATTGTAAATTAATTACTGTTAAACTGGGAATAAGCCACAATTAAAGATAAAAATAGGTTTATTGACGTTTCAATTTCCACTTCGGAAATCGTTCAGAACGATTATTAAATCATCTAAGATAGGCGGACGATATAATAATAGAAAACACCCTTATAGAGTATTTTTTCTGGAATGTCTGTTAACTGGTCGTACGGCAGCCAATTGGATTATTTTACATTAATAGAAATGTGAATAGTAATTCTTACAGAACATTACTAGAAAACCAAACTACAAGTGTAGGGCTTAAAATAAATTATAGTAAAACAAAGACAATAAAAAATACACAGCTTCACTATTAGAATAGAGCAATACATAATAAAACATGTTAATGAGGCAACTAATCAAAATAAACAAAGAAATCAAACTACAGAAATAAAAAACAGAATAAAGACAACTTGGGTGACGTTTGAGTAAATTGTGTTATATAATTAAAATCAAAAAATTCCCTTTTGGCTTTGGAACAATGCCATCGGAAAGTGGCGTCCATACAATGCAAAGAGATCAAGAGGCAGACCACAGATGAGGTGGAAAGATGACATCAGGAAACAAGGAGGTCCCACATGGCAGAGAACAGCTCAAGATAGGGAAAGATGGAGAGAACTGGGGGAGACCTATATCCAACAATGGAAGGATAGAGAATAGGTTAAAAAAAATACAGCCTTTTACAAAGACATGTTAATAGAATACAAAAAACACAAAGTGCTATGGAAATGTAACTGCTAAACATAAAACAAAAGATAAAATAGTAAATAAGTGGATTAGAGGAAAAATTAAAGTAACAGAGGTTGAAAAAGAAATAGCAAAACTAAAATGGTAATTTATAGGACATACCACCAGATATCAAGATAAAATATGGAATAATTTACTCATACAGTGAAAACTGTTTAAAAAACATGAGAGGAAGACCATAAATGCAAAGAGCAGAAGACCTCAAAAAAATTGCAGCATGAGGTGTCATCTGAAAGTGGGGCTGACATTGGCAGTAAAAAGAAGATAAAAAGAGTCCAGACCACGGTTTGTAAATCCCGCAAGAATTGTAAATTTATATGTTTAGTTTTCTTTCAATTGCTGGTTAATTGTAATTTAAGGACTAGTACTACGGAGGATGAACACAACCGCTGATTTGGTCAACACCGTGAAGGGCTGTAAGCTGCAGTATTTGGGACATATAATGAGAAATCAAGGCAGATATGAGCTACTCCAATGTATTTTGCAAAGTAAAATTGAAGGAAAAAGGGCCCCAGGACGAAGAAGAATATCCTGGCTTGCTAACTTGAGAGCATGGTATAGAAAGACTTCAACACAGCTATTCTGTATAGCTACCAACAAAATCATACCCAGAATGATTGCCAACATTCAGAATGGACAGGCACCCTGAGAAGAAGATCGTCATTAAATGATCCTCTGGAATCTATTCTTGTAATTGTGATATAAGCTAATGTTTGCATCTATATGTATATCTATGTCCCCTATATCCAAATGAGTTTGACTACATAATGTATTTAACTTCTGAATTCGCAAAGTTTTGCCTAACCAAATCAAAGTTTAAACTACAATGAATGCAGTAATAATCTGCTATCTGTCACAGCTTATCTTCATTAATACCTTTAAGTTTAGCAAGGTGTTACAATAAGAAAGGCATATTATTTAACAATATTTCTTAAAAAAAACTTATTTAACCCTGCTGTGTTGTAACAGTAACAATCATAAATAATTTTCCTTTATTATGATATTTGAGATACAATTTTTCTTTACAGGTTTAACTGAGGATCAACATGCTGAAACTGAAATTCAAGAGGTCCGAAAAATTTCTGATACCGATGAAACTAAGGGAACAGAGGAAGTTCAAGAATTTGAATATCAAGAGACAGTAGATGAAGAAACAATGGGAAAACTGGAAAGTGACGTTATGAACGTTTTAAGTGTGTCACATGATTCTTTAGAAGACTTAGTGAAATCCTCGTCCATGCAAATTGCCAAAGAAAAATCAGGTCTAGAGATCCTTGGTCTTAGCAGCCAATTGTTAATTGAAGAAAAAAAGAAAAAACGCTTTGAGAGAGCCAAAGACGTATTAGGTAACTTAAGAAGATTTTATTCCTAGTTAATCACTCTTTTTTGAGGTTTTATATATTAGAGATTTTTATTGCCGTTAGAAATTTTTTAGTAGTCTCTTATCTATATTTTCTTTATAAAATTATATTTTTACCCTTATTTTTTATTGAAGTGCCAAATTCCAAGTAAGTTTGGTATTCTCAATTTTAATGTGTATTCTACACTTACAATTTTTGCCATTTCACCCACTTAGCAGTGGCTATAATTGTTACTATATTTTATCTGGTTTATTTAGGTGAAGTAATAGATATAAGAGGTGACAGTGTTGGAACTGAAGACAGGGATAGACGTCTTCGATTTATGAACAATAAATACGATTCAGATAAACCTACCATGGCTCGATTTATGAACACATATAAATTGGATTCTGATAAACCTTTCAACCATCAAAAGGTTAAAAATGTATTGAAGTCAGTTATGGAAGAAGCGCTACAAGATCTGAAGTAAGTAACTACATTTACAATCTTACTCATTATCTAAATACATTCTTTTAACAGATATGAACCTGAGAAATGTACCAAACTGGCCAAATGGGCTTCCAATACAATCAGAGCGAAGGTAAAACAAATGGAATTTGATAGATATAGAATTATTAGCCTAGTTACAATTGGAGAAAAACATAACCAAGGTGTACTATGCACATGCAGATTTCTATGGGATTCTGATCGAGATAATTATTCATGTTACACATTGCAAAATCCATTTGTTTTTGGAATTGCTCTTTGTTTTGGTTTGTATTATGAATAAAGTAATATATATCCAGAAATTTTATAATGTGCAGGCTTTTATTTAACATACGGAAATAAAATTATACACAAAAATATTCACAATATTTGTAGATGATCTAGAAACGACTAATCGATCTTTATACACAAAAAGAATTAAGAATAACAAATGGTTACTTCATATAAACTGATTCAGAAATACACGCGAGAACAAGAAATTAGAAAACTAAAGTCCATAATACAGTACATAATAATAAGGCAGTCAAGACACCACCAATTGAAAGGATGTTACAGTACAAAAAGTAGCAATCTATGGAATCACTACTTGTTGAAAGCTAAAATGTATACTCCGAAGTGGACAACCATCACAAAAAGTAGAAGCAACAAGTGTGAAGAGATAGTTTCGTAAATAACCCAAAATACAACTTGGAAGGTCTTTTAAATGAAAGCACCAAGTACTTTAATGAAAAATGAATAGATGAGTGAGTACCTGAACTAGTCTGAAAATATCTTCTTTGAAGAAAATTATAATATACTCCATTCTCTTAGTTCGAGCATATTTTGACAGATTGATTGTCGGAAACCTACAACACAACAATTCCTACTTCTCAGTATTAATAGCTTAAGTATACTACTATTGCAGACTTCTTTATTTGAAAAAAGAAGAATTATTCTAAATAGTGGAAGTGTATACTAAACTCATCAAATTTTGGGTAGTATATATTTAAAAAATATATTTTAGTTGTTATAATTTAACATAACTATTTATTATATGGTGCAGATAAATAAAGATTGTCAGTAATTCGTAAAGTTTTATTTTATTTACTATTAATATTGGCTATGAGTACATGTGCTTGGTTGTATAGTAATTTCCAGCCACTATTAGTCTGTCAAAAAGTAACTAACTTCACAAAAAAATAATTACTAAATTCACTAGACAGTTCGGACTGGGAATAGCAAAACGAGTATAACATAACAGAAAGTATACACAAAGCAATTCAGAAAGAATTAGGCATTAAAAAACAGCAAAAAATGTTATGGTGATCAGATGAAGTCAAAGAAATAATAAACAGAAAAAAATAGTACCACTGAAGTGGTTAAATACAAAATCAATTGAATCCAAAGAACCATACAACAGAACTAATGACTGAACATGAAGTAAAATAAATCACTTAAAAAATGAGATATGGGATATACAATGTCAGGAAATAGAGGGACATATTGACAGAAGATGGTGCCCATAAGCATGACGATTCATTAACACAGTTAGATCAACGGATCAGAAGAACAGTGTTTACAAAACCACTATGAACTGAACCAAGACCATAATATATTCAGAAAAAAACATTCATTGGTAAACATTGAAAGAGAACAGGTGCAAATAGACATAGAAGTTGTACAAACAACTATTAATAAACTAAAAAATGTAAAATCATGCAGACCAGGAGTGTACCCAGTGTTCTTAAAAAAAAAAACGGTACAAAGAAGCTGGAGAACTCTACTACAGACAAACACCTGAATACCTGAAACTCTGTTAATAAATAGCTGAGTAGTCAGGAAGCTCCTAACCAATGAAAAGTGGTATACATATTGTCCATCTACAAAAAAAAGCAACAAAGAAAACTGTCAGAATTATAGTGGTATATAAATCACAAGCCCAATTATCTGATTGTAAGGAAGAATATTTGAGAGATCTAATAGAAACAGAATTTCAATGTGGATTTAGAGCCAAAAGATTATGCATCAACAATATATTGTGTAATAAACAGATAGAGAAAAAATATCAGCAGATCAACTTAAAAATTTATTGATCTATTATCTGAATTTATTGCTATTTATTGATCTCTCAAATGCATATGTATATTATATAGCATTAGCTTATATTAAAGTGGCATTAATAAAATGGAAATGTTCAAGAATGGGAATACCTTTAACAGACAGAACAGTATTTAGCCTAGAGTTTGCATATGAGCAGGCAGTACTGGCAAGCGATAAAGAACACCTTGGAATATGTGGCCTAGAAGATAAAAGAAACCTAAGAAGATTGGAGACTCGCTATAAATATTGAATAAACCAAATATCTATGCATGGGAAGGAAAGTTTTAACCTATATTTGGAAAAAAATAGAAGCACACGAAGAGTACAAATATCTATTGGTTATATAAGACAATATGGGTGTAAATTCAGCTGTTGTGCATAAGTGATTAGAATTTTTAAGAAAATATCAACAGTAGAAAGTGATGGATGCTGCTTTTGTTTGTGGAAGAAATATGAATGTTTTCAAAGGTATAAAAGGATGTCAAAAATTTGATATTAAATCCATAACACCAACATCAAACTGAAGGAAAAATATACATCGTGGTACAAGCAGGTGACTGAAATAACTTTGTTTAAACCATTAAACCAACAAAATAATTAAAATAAATAATAGTGTCCCGGGAATTAACAAGACAAACCATTTTACACTATTACTGTAGGGTTACCAATTATTTGTTTTAAAATTATAGTAGTGGCAAAAGGTAAAAATATTTCGATGCATTAAATATGAAACAAAGAAGTCATCGCAAATTAAATACAGTTTAAAGTATCCTTACCTGTAATTTACTTGATTGAACAACATGCTCCATCTTTAATTGGTGAGGCTGTTGTATCTGTTGACCGTCGTGTCTTGGTGGAACTGCACAATCATATTCCATAAGAATGTGATTTGTCGGCTGTCCTTCAAGTTGGAGTTCCACGTGATGATCCTCTTGTTGATGAGGAGGTGGGTGATGGTGGTGGTGAGTTTGATGTTCCGGTGTTGGATCATTAATAGCTTGCAGCACTTGTTTGGCAAAGGTTGCTTGTACTTCCTTAGTGTGACTACTAAGGGCGCCTGTCGACGGCTGGGGTGTTTGTCGAGCCGATGATTCTCCAGAAGGAGGATGCGAGTTATTGTCTTCAAACATTTCCAGTAGACGGTCAGCACCTACAATTTTTTAAACAAAAATAGCATAGTTTATTTTGACTTATATAGCATGTCTATACAGATAAAAGGCCAACGCATAATCTACACTTGCGTGCAAAAAAATCGATTCAAAAGTAAAATATCGTAAACAGAAGTAAGTAAAGACCATAACAAAGATGTTAATGAATAAAAATCATTATTTAATAAATATAAAAGTAAATTAATATGAAAAATTAAAATTAATACTGAGTTTTTCCACCTCTGAGTTGTATTACACTATCCATACGATCTCTTTATTACGTTTACGCATACAGACCCGAACCCTGCGTTTAAGTTCATCCCATAGGTGTTCGATGAGATTCATATCCGGACACAATGGAGTCCAGTCCATTGTTGATATATTGATGTTGACCAGGTAATCGTAATCCGTGCTGTGTGACATCGAGTGTTATCATGCATTAGCATGAAGCCGTCGCTTATGTAGCCGGCAAGGAACAACATGGTCTTGGAGAATATCCGTAATGTAACGATCCGCTGTCAAACCTCTTTCGCGACCACCACCGGGCACTAACACAAGCGTTGTTTTTCCTTCTAAAGATATACCGTCTCAAAACATACACGAATCACCTCCATAGGTCACTGTTTCGACACTGCGGTACTGTAGCACTAGACAAATCGTTCTCCGGTCCTGCTATAGACGCGTCGTCTTCTGTCATTATTATACAAGCACATTCGACTCTCATCAGAGAATAAAACTGCTCCATTGGCTAAGGTCCCAATTGACGTGATCTCGAGCAAACTGAAGTCGAACTTGTTTCTGATAAGCGTTCAATTCGGGCCATATGTTAGCTCATCTGGGAGTCAAAGTGGCAGCCTAAGTATTCTCTTAACTGTCCACTGAGTCACGGTGACACTACGTACATTCCTCAAGCATTGTTGAAACTCAATTCCTGTCGCGTGCCGATTCCGCAAAGACAATGAATCGATGGACCCTCTCTAGCGTTACATGTTGCCGGCCCGAACCTGGTCGTCAACTGTAGCTATCGGTCTCCTGGTATCGACGGTAAGCCCTTGAGACTGCAGACTGCGTTATAAGGGCGACGGCGACAGTCCTCTGACTATAGCCATCTAGTAATAATGCAATTATCTGGACCGCCTTCACTGGTGAAGTATCCATTTGTAAAATATTCACTTACTACACTTTGAAGTGTACACACGCGTCAACGTTTGAAAAGCGACTGAGACGACCACTGGCAAATTCATATAGGTCTACATTGCGTAGAATATGCCCGGTACAATGTTTGCTGCATACAGAAGTATGGCAAAGTTTACAAAACGGTGTCAATTTCCATATAACAATTATTTTTTGGAAGCTCTATAATAGACAATATTTTTTTAGCATTAGTTGTTTTAATTCAAAGTAATGAGACACTAAATTACTAAGAATAAACTACAATTCATCGAGTAAGTCGATTTTATTGCTCGCAAGTGAAGAAACTCATTTGGTTTTTATCAATTTAAAAAAAGTGTATGACAGCAATCAGTTTCTAGGCTCTGGACTGTAATAAGATGAGAAAATATCAGTCACTATAAAAACTAACACACTTGTCCAGTAAGAATGCAAGCTGTGTTTAAATCTGTACATCTTGGAAATTTCAGGTATCACAAAACTTGAGATAGATGCTGTATTTCTTCAACCTTATTCAAAATATACCTTATGAAGATTTAAACGAGTGGAGAACAAAATGTGACAGAATGGATATTGAAGTTAACAACGGCATAGTGTTATCCCTCAACTTTGCCGATGATCAGGTTATTCTATCAAGTGAGGAAGAATACGCCCACTACATGGTATGAAAACTTAATCAAGAACATCCCAATGGGGCCTGGAACTTAATTTTGATACAACAGAGTATTTAGTAGTAGGGGAAACAGTAGAAACTTGATAATAGAAAACCGATTATAAGTAAGAGCTAACCACAAATACAAATATCTTGGGTTATTTATTTCAGAAAGGGAGGCAGCGACGAGGACATTTGATAGCATACCACTAGAAAGAAAAGTTGCAATTAGACAACTGCACCCGGTATTTGGAATAAGAACACCAAAATGTGAGTTACAAATTTATAAGACTATTGTAGAGAGCATTGCGATATGCGGATCGGAAGTGTATGAGATAAAAAAACCTCATTAAAAGATTAAAGCACTCAAAATGAATTTTTGGCTTCTAATACTCTCATTATATATCTAATATTCTCATTATGTATCTAATACTCTCATTACATACGTCATGTACACCATATTTCCAAAAAGCTACACTGAAAAGAGTATACATCTTCAAATTAAATCTGGATTCCTTCTTAAGATAGTTAATATGTACTACATATGATTATCTTAAGTATTTTATATTTCTTCCAGTTATATTAAAACTAAACAACAAATTACCTGTAGTTGGATCGATGATGGCTAGAGCTTTCGATCTTCGTTTCGTCTGAGGTTGCCTTTGGAAGGGTTGCTGCTGGTGATTATTACTTACTAGAGGTACGTTTGGCATTGTGTTTTGTGTCGTGTTAGGGTTTGCTGCCGTTGGTTGAGGAATGGAGGCACCTCTAGGCATCATTTGAGGTTGGTAATAATTATCTACAATAAAAAGTTAAATTTTAAATATGCTACAACTAGAAAATAATTTTAATGGTCGCAGTGGTACAACTTATTTAGAAGAAATACTTGAAAACATTCTTTGTTAATATTCTTAAAGAAAGTCATTCAAATATTTAACGTAGTAGATAAACTATTGAAATATGGAGTGAGCTATTTTAGTAATTAAAATTTGTCAAGATATAAATCATTAAAATTATTTAATCAATAAAAATAATCAAACGTCTATTTAAATCCTTCTAGCTAACACAACAATTAAAAGAAATTCCTAGTTATACGATAGACAAAATATGTATAAAAGAAGCACCAGAAAGTCATAAATAAAAGGACCTCCAAAACAAATAAGCATTATTGGTGCTACCAGGAAAACAACAAGAGTTAAGTAAATGAGGTAATTAAATATCAAAATGTATTTATTGCAAACCGAAAACCAACAAGCAAAAGTACAACAGAAAATTTTAACTTGTGACATAAAGCAAGAATTATTTACAAAGCTTGAAGAATCATAAAAGCTTTCACAACAGATAAAAACAATGTTGTAATAAGTACGTATTTTAATGAAATGTTAACAGAGACACTATAATTTCTACAAAGGAATGAATAACTAAGAGGTCATAAGAATGACAACGAGAAGAAGCAATTAGAAGAGTGAAATTACAAAAAATCTCTAGGCCCTGAGTGGATACCCCAACAGCTGATTGAATCTGCTTGAAATGCTTTTGAGATAATTTGAAAGGCATTTGAAGCACACATAAAATTTATAAAGCAACAGTTATATTACATGGCGAGAGATTGTGATCATGGTATAGTTAAGACAATTATGGGAATTGATGACCGAGACCTCCGTATTATCAAAAATTTGTATTGACATCAATGTGCAAACATACGAGGTGGACACAACACGGCGGAAGCAGTGGAAATACGACGTGGAGTGAGGCAAGGATGTATTCTATTGCCTCTACTTTTTAATATCTACTCCGAATTTATTTTTAAAGAAGCCTTAGTTGAAGATACAGGCATTAAAATCAACGGAATGAATCAACAATCTCAGATATGCAGACGACACGGTACTTATTGCCTCCAATGTAAAAGACTTGCAACGACTTATAAACAGGGTAACCGAAGCATGTGATAAATATGAGCTAAAACTTAATACTTCTAAGACAAAATTTATGGTTGTCAGCAAAACGGAGTTACAACCAACGAACATCAGAGCGTATGGAATAGAGTTTAGAAAGAGTCCACAATATTACCTACTTGGGTGCAAACGTTAACGATAGCTGGGATCTAAATAAAGAAATAATAATACGCATTGAAAAAGCCAGAGCCGCCGTCTATAAATTAAAGAAAATTCTAATTAATAGAAATATTACGTTAAACCTTAAAATCAGATTAATACGCTGGCGCTGCTACATATTCTCCACATTGCTGTATGGTATGGAGAGCTGGACCCTTATAGAGACATTAATGAAAAAATTAGAGGCCTTTGAGATATGGATTTATCGACGAGTATTGCGGATAAGTGGGGTTGATCGAATAAGAAATGAAATAGTTTTACATCGAATGAAAAAGAGCACAGAAATAACAAAAACGATAAAAAACGAGAGGCCCAGGCCGACGAAGAACATCCTGGCTCCGAAATTTCCGAGAATTGTATCAAGAAACCACCGCTAATTTATTTAGAGCCGCCGTAAATAAAGTTATTATTGCCAATATGATCGCCAACGTTCGATAATCGGACAGGGTACTGAAAGAACAAGACAATTATAAATTATTGATTATTTTAATAAACAAATGAAAACATAATCTTGTATGCGAGGCAATCAAATAAACTCACATGGAAAATGAGCAAATACGCCTTGTTGGTTTCTAGGCTTGTAAATACCTGCGCATATCTGACGATAAGCAATAACCTTAAAATAGCAATAAAATGTTAATATATTATGAATTTAAATCAATAATTAATAAATTGTTTTCATATAGGCTATCAAAGTTGATGAAGTTTAAGGCTGTTTTAGCAGTTCAAGCACACTGCGATTTGAAATGGGCGTATCACTTACATTTCTACACTTCTTACGCGAGACTATCTTTACTCAGTGGCGTCGGCCAACGGGCAACAAATGCATTACTCTCCATTCAAATTAGTTTTAACACGAACTAACTGACCGTACGCTTATGAGATTTGACGTCACGAATGCGATAACGGTGAATCTTAGCGACAATGCTGCGTAACACGTTTCACTATTAGATTTTAGTATTTTTTAGCAATTTTCTTCAAAGTTTGAACACGCTTTTCTCGATTATTACTGTACACAGAAAGGTGAAAAAAAATCAACGATTACAGAAAAAAAAACTCTTTCAAGTGATGGGCGTAAAAAGTTTGGTTATAATAGAACGTTAAACAGTATAATCCAATTTTTCAACATAAAAAACACAGAAGTTAAGACACTTCACAATTGTGTATTTTGGTATAAAAACATACAAGTACTTAAAAACTTTTTAAAATTGTCGTCAACATTTAAAATTCTGGCAGAATGTTTTCAATCTATACAGATCATCTTCAGTGCCTTTTGTATTTGGTGCTAACAATAAGGTGTCTATAAGACTTCCATGTGTGGATTTACAAAATATCACATTTTACATTTAATAATGTTGAGACTCTAGGTCGATGACAATGGAATTGTTTTTAAAATTAAAATTTACTTTAGGGACTACATGTCTCTTAAGCTCAAATACTTGCACGTGGTTGTAAAATATGCACCGATAAAACAGCCTTAAGTTTGTAAAAACTTACGCATGCATAATGACACGTAATAATCTTGAAACCACGATCAACTGTTGGTACTTATTTAAATGAAGATACTGACAAGGCTTTGCGCCCCTGAGGACTGATTGCCCTACATATATCTAAGCCACAGAAATCTTTCTGTACTACATTCAAAACCAAAATAAGCTCGAGTTCACACCCATCGGTGGGCGTGTCGTAAAGTCGCAGCTTGTCATTGGTTAGAAATTGAACTTGAGCTTATCTTGGTTTTGAATGTAGTATAGAGGATTTACTATTTTTTTACATGAAACAATCTGATTATTAATAGCATTTATAAAATACTTCAATATAATACTTACACGAAATATGAGGAGCTTGCGCCGGTGTCGTTCCGTATCCATACGAGAACACAGGAACGCTTTGTGGAACGAACCCTGTAGGCGTAGGTCTTTGCGCTCCATACGTATAACCGACGGAATTCGTCGACGTGAGATACACTTGCGGTGCTGCAGGTGCCATATGCATAAATTGAGGTTGCGATGGTGAAAACAGCTGCGGCTGCGGAGGCTAAAACAGTTAAAATTATTAATTAGCAAATACCAACACATATTATAATGCAACTAATGGATGCATAAAACCGGTCGCAGTCTATTTTCAGAAGTCACGATTTACCACTTAATAACAAAATCTCTATCATCAGATGTTACGTATTTTCTACATTATATGAAGTAGAGGCCTGGACACTTTCTGAAACTTTTTAAGAAAGCTCGACGTCTTGGAGATGTGGTGTTACATAAGCGTCGTAATATTTCATGGGTGGATCGTATGACTAATATTGAGCTCCTACGTCAAGAAATGAGAGATTATTAACACAATCAAAGAGCGCAAATTAAAATATCTTGGCATGTTATGAGAAATAAACAGAGATAGATAAGGCTTGTTGCAACTCATTCTTCAGGGCAAGATATTTGGAAAGAGAGGACCAGGAAGAAGAATATCTTTGCTTCAAAACCTGAGAAAGTAGTTTACTACGTCTACAACCGTATTATTCCGAATAGCTAAGTTGGGATAGTCATACTGATCGCCAACATCCGGAACGGATAGGCACCGTAAAAAGATGATGGTTTTTTTATACATTTGATATCACCCAAAATTGGTGTCAATTACTCATATATCCTAATATTTTTTATGTTTGAAACATTTTGACCAGTAGTATGAGTTTTATTAAAAAAAAATCTTCTTTACTTGTATTGGAAGACAAGGTAGTTTCAATGCGTCATTATTCCTTTTAGATAGATTCGGACTGTTTCTTTGTATGATATTTTCAGTTTCTTCATTTTAAGTCAGCTTCATTTCATTACAAGCAGTTGTTAATACATCAGGATGACTGCTGCATCTCATGCCAATAGTTCGTTTTAATATCCACTTTAGTTAATATTATTGTGGTGCTACGAAAGTGTTTCCTATTAAGTAGTTTTCACTTACCCTACTGTTATGACTCGTCATTCTGGGTTGTTGACTAGGCGGACCAGTTGCTCTTGTATAAAAATTTGCTGCCGGTCTAACAGCTGGCGAAATAAACTGCAACAAATAAAAAGAATTCAATATAATTTTTCACGTCTATTATGGGCAGAAATATTTTTTTATGATATAAATAAATGGGAAAAGATACAGTTTGACTGTTTCAAAGATTTTTAAATATTAATCAAAACTTAGTTTCTCGCCTTTCTCTTAACTTGTTTAAGTTTGAGAAATATAGACTTTTATTATCTTAATTGTATAAACCAGCTGTATTAACAATTCAAAGTTTGTATTTATTTTATTTATTTCACTGGCATCAATACGCGATAGACAATTACGGCCTTGACACGTCGTCCATATCTGGCTTAACTGCATACGAAACATCAGGAAGAAACCATTTCAAACCAGGGCCTAAAAAATCCGAAAACGACGTACCATTTATGTTAGTTTAATATTGTATACTTTGATTTACTTAATAAAGTAAAAATCTAGATTTCAGTTAATGAAGCAATCTCGAAACATAAATCAGTTCACTTTGAAATCAAAACTATATGTCGCTATCTTGGAAGAAGAACGTCATATCTCAAAAAAAGTTGAAAATATACTTTGTTAGTGAACAGATTTCAAATATATACTTTTTTGTGTGATAACGTAATAAAGTTAGTTTATGCCTATTACCGTCAGATCGTAGAAGTGTTGTTACTGTTAATCGAAAAGTTGGTTCGACATTTTGCACAATATTGTCATATTTTGAGATATGCCATCATTTCCCAAAAACACAATAGAATAATACAATACTTTCTGTGAAAAATAATGCATTATTTTGAGTTGTGTCAGTCTTGTAAAAAAGTTGATGTTATGTTTATAATGAGACGTAATATTCCTTTGAGTTATGTCAGTATTTTAAGCAAATTATTAGAACCTATTGAATTGTTAAACCCAACAGTCTACAAATTATTTCGACTTCTTAAAAAACAAAATCCAGTTGGAATTATTTCAGATTATACAAATGTATCAAAGATTTAGGGGTAGACTCATTATAAAAGTTGACTTCTGTCAAAAACAAAGAATGATAGTGTATCATGGAAACTTAACAAATGAATTTTCAAATGAAGATAAGTATTTTTTAACTCTACTGCAGAATGACAGTCTGTCTACATTCAGATCCGTAGTCAAAATTGGTTCTACAAACGGCTTGTAGATTTGTCATTTTTGTGCGTAAATTAATTTTAAGATATTAAAGTGATGAATTTAATGTTTGTGCCACATTTCGGCCATGTATTTTCTGCTGAATGTCCTGTTTCGATATTCCTTCTTTCGCTATCACTCTTCCTAGGTATTTAGATTCTTCGCATTCTTTTATATCCCTAATCGAGAGTTGTGGGTCTCTTTCTTCGTTCTTAGATATTCCATTTTGTTGATGGTGAGTTAACTTTCGAATCATATAATCCATGTCTTTCTCATCGTTGTGACAAATAGACATTTGTAAAAAAAAACACGTAAAATAAAATTTTTTAAAAGGCCATTTCTGAAAATTGAAAATTGTTACATATATAACTATCAATTAGATTAGTCATATATTAATAGCACGATGTGGTAATAACCACTTTCATAAAAAACTTGACAACAAAACAAAACATCAAATAAAGAAAAATACACACCTGTGCCTTCACAATCTTATCGGAACGAATGTGACCTCTTAATAGAATACTAATTTACGTACTGATTGATTATTTAGTGAGATATTTCTAGCAATAGTTAAACGCTTAACATATATCAAACCAAATCCTCCATATTTGCATAAAATCAACAGGTTCACTAGATGGCCAAACAGACTTACACTTTCGCTTCGAGATGTGAGTAGTTAAATGGGTTCATAGTTCAAGCCATGTTCGAAAAATTAAAATTTCAAACATGTCTGTATAAACATTCAAAATGGATCTGCGACTTTGAATTTATATTCGCGGGTGGATTGAGTCGGACCATGAATGAAAAGTGCGGTAAAAGATACTGACTTACGACTTGATAATGCTCATTTGTACGAACCGGAAGGTTTTAAGAAAGGAAAAAAATAATAATTTAATACAGATATAACAATATTACTAACAAGATTGACGATGACAAAATCAGATATACAAAAATCGGGAGATAGTGCTACCCGAGAATGTTATGTATCTTATGGTCACCGTATTAAACACGAGAATTTATTGCGAAAAATGAATAATGAACAAGTAATAAAAAACAAAATAAACGATCAAAAGGGGACAGTTTGAGGATCTTAGTCATATAATAAGAGCAACCAGATGTCGTTATATTAAGACTACTAATAAAGGGAGTAAGTCCTCCATGGGCTATTGGGTGTCACAGATGATGATGATGAATGAAGGAAAGATAGAGAATCGTAATTTTGGAAGAATTTCTTAGCTTAGATATTTAAAGGGGTTTTTAATATTAGCTACAGTAAATGATTTTGGATAGCAATAAATAAAGTGAAAATTTCCATAATAAATCCAAGACAATATAAAAAAAATGCAAGCAAGACAAACATTTCATGAACCTGACTCACTCGTTTGGTGACGTCAATCTACGAACGAAACTATGAAATCTGACATTTCTCAAAACAATTTACTGTCTGCAGTGAGTTATCGTAGCAGGACAGAGTCAAACTAGTTTTTGCATTAGTAAAATAGTTGTCAGTATTTATTGTTTTCCCTCTAAAAGTCATTTTTAATACCTTATATTTAATTCAGTATGAAATTAAAATAGTTTGGTTTATGATGCATTTTTGTTGGCCTGTGTATTTCCAAGGTTCAAAATGTTTTGAAACAACCCTAGTAAAGTATTCAATGGATTCACTTTTCACTTTTGTTTACCACTTTTTCAACGCCAAATTGGTTTTCACTTATTGGTTATGGTATAAATTTAGACATATAATATTTGGAAAAACACATAAAATGATTTGTTGAAAATAGACCTTCTTTTTTTGATTTCAACTTAGAATTTTTAGATTTGTTTCTGATTAAAAAACAAATTAATTTTTGACAAAATATATTTTACAAACATTGCGCATATGGAAAAAATATTTAAATTATCAACCTACTTTGAAATACAATCACTATTAAACCAACATCAATAGCCGAAATATTCGCTAAACACTAATTCAAAAACGATAGGTCACTAAAAATACACCAACTACATGGTCACAGTTCCATACGTTTTTAAAAAATTCGCTCTCGGTGACTACACCACGATTCGACTGTCGCAAGACGTACAAAATTGATAAGGCGTTTCAAATTATCGCTACGTATATACGTGTATTGTTGATAACAGTTTTTAATTTTATGGTTAATCTGTAAGTGGTTACGTCTATTGACTAGCTATTTTATGTTATATGTATCATATTATCTACAGTAAAATCAGAAAGTTTTCAGCATCTATAAAAAATACACAAATGTTATATTCTAATCCTCACAAAACACATGCGATAATATTCCCGTAACAAGGAATCTTTTTCAAGTGGACTATTTTAACATATTTATTCATATAAGTTGTTGTATGTAGATTTTGTATCTGCAAGTGACAATCGTGACATTGGTGAGTGCATTATTTTTTAATCCAGTTTTAATTGTTTTTTATTTATTTTTTATCTTTTAAAGTCATTCCTTTCTTTAGTCCTACCTTACATTTATATTGCAGAAGATATCCATAACTACCCCGAACATTTTAACTCATTTTACTCAAACATTTTACTCAATACATGTCAATATAATTCACTTGCTTTTCCTCTAATGTCTGACTATTAGTTCAAAATTATCGTTTCAACTCTCTTACATCCACAACAATAAAATTATTCATCATCATGAGTACACTACTAGTGGAACCATGACCTTGCAACGTTGCCGAGGCATGTTGTCGAGTCGGCTGAAACCCACGAAGGGTTGTAACGCCACGGAGTAAGTAAGTAAGAAACTGAGCAGTTTTCACAGATTGCACCAAATATTCATGACGGTTCATTCGAAGATGATCTGCATCTTTTTTTGGTTTTTGCAGAAGTTTCCGTTCTTTACGTAACTGCTTGATCTAAAGGAACACCTTGGTCACTAGTAGTATCCATTTTACTTCATCATATCATGTTTTATTAATCTTGTCCATATTTCACTTGTATATATATAAAATTGTGAAGAAAGTAATAGCTTTATAAACATTTAGTCTTGTTTTAACTCTACACTGCTCAATTTTTTAAAATCAATTACAAAAATGTTTTTTAGAATTGCTATGTTATAAGGATATAGGCGAAAATATTTAAAAAAAAAATGTGACAAAAATTTTTATTCATTATGACTATGACAAATCAAATCTGATGATACATTGAGCATTCAGTTACAAACATGTTATTGATTATGAAATGAGGGAAAGCAATTATGATTTTTATTTAAACATAAATGTATACCACATTTAGATCATTTAATGAGGGGAAAACGAAGAACAGGTGGGAAATTTACTTTTTCTTGTTTGATCATACATCGACCAATGATCTATGGAATCTGTTCGAACGTATTTAGGTAGAGAGAAGACTGTGGATTGTTTTCTCTTTTCCAGCAACATCGATTCAACTGAATCCTTTGAAGGCCTGTCTAGTTTCCTATTGGTGTTACCAGACCTGCAAAGACACTCTGCTATTTCGAATCGAACATCAACCTGAGACACTACTGACTTTCCTCTGTCGTTGTGTGCCCGGCTATAAAGCATCCATGTGTTGACAAGTGTAATGTCGATCAGGTGATAAAAAAGTCTTATGTATCATTTTTTTTTCATCTTAGTTTAATTGTGTACCTTCCGATAAAGCTGTCCATAGCATCTACGCCTTCCATGTGAGCATTACATTCTGGGACTAAGCTAGGACACTCAATTTATTTATATATATATATATATATATATATATATATATATATATATATATATATATATATATATATATATATATATATATATATATATATATATTTTCTTTCCTAGCCCATCTTTTTACTCTATCCTCTGTTAATGGTAGTTTGCCTTCA